GAGCCTTAGACAGCCTAGACTGGCCCTGCCTATCCTCCCCAGGCCTCCTGGGTGCATGGGGGACACACAGTTTTTTAGTCCAGGAATAAGAGGAGGTAATAGGTGTCTACTGTGGGCAAGGCAGAGGGTCAAAGAGTCGGCATTCCTGAATGTCCAGAGTGTGCCGGAGACTCTCCATATGGAAATTCTATTAATAAATGGATCTCATGTCAAGTGTGACTGTATTATTACAGCTCTTTTAAAGGCAGGGAAAGGGGCATTTGGAGAAGTGTTGTGGTAGAAGCCCCAAGCCGAGAGGTGTGTGAAGCCAGGCCTTTGGGGATCCTGCTGCAGCCCCTGCTTCTTCATGAGGGGTCTTGTGGGGACTTCGGGGGTGCTCCTCCATTGGGGCCCTCCTGCCAGCCCCTGCTTCTTCATGAGGGGTCTTGTGGGGACTTCGGGGGCTTGGGGCAGTGGCCAGGCTGGGCTCCTCCATGCTCTTGCTGTGTGGTCTCCAGAATTCACTTAACCTCCTGCTGCCATGGCCCCCCATCTGTGAAATGGGGATCAAATTCCAGCCCTGCCAGTCTGTCTGCCCAGTGGAGCGGGTGATTAATGAGGCCATGGAGGGGGTGTGTTGTGCCTCCAGGGCAGACTCATTTATCATGGAGCAGAGTCCATGTTCCTTCCTCCTTCCACACCCTGCCAAAGATTGACATAAACAAGCAAAAGGTAAAATAAGCTCAGGGGAAGTTTTCCAGAATTTTATTGTGTAACATCTAATAATTACAAACTAACTTAAGCAAAAATTCTTCATTTTTGTTAGTAATTCAGATCACTATCTGAGAGAGCCAATTTGGTTCTGGAGCTGGCCTCATTCTCAAGAGTTTAACCAGACTTAGCTTTTTAGTCCCTAAGTCAAACGGATTAGGCACAAAGTGACATTTCAAATGATCACGGTTTCCAAACACCTTAAGGGTGTTGCTATTTCGGCCTTTCTCCAGGGAGATTCTGGGGAATAGTTTAAACAATTCCAAACCCGCTTTGAGCTCATTATTCTCCTAAAATTTAGGACTGAATAAATTTTTTTTTGTTTTTCTCTCAAAGCTAAGAGTTAAGGACAGAGTAGGGATATCCGTCTTTAAAAATATCATCAGCAAATACTTACTCATGAGCCACTGGACTGGACACTCAGTTGCTGTTCTGTGGAGAGTGCGGTGTGCGGTGTCTGCTGGGGGTTCAGACCTACAGGGAGATGTGAAATGTTCGCAGATCATCTTGCCACACAGCGGACAGAGTCCTGGCGACACCGAGGATGCCAGGCCTCCAGGGTCAGCGCTTTAAGACAAGCACACGTGGTTGGAATTCAGGATGGACTTATGCTCCGGCAAGGTTTCAGTCAGAACATTTCTGCCAGTTTCTGACTCTCTCCTATATGGTGCAGACCCTTTCATTCATGGGATAGATTCGAGGTGGGTGTGATTATGTGCTGGGCTGTGTAACAGGGGTGGGCTGTGAAGATCAACAGACGTGAGGTTTATTTAAGACTCACGTGTGCACAGGCGGGAGACAGCAAGCAGGGGCTGGGCAGGGAGCCTGCCTAGCAAAGATCATCCTTCCCTGCCCCAGTGCTGGGCCAGAGGGAAAGCAGATGTTCTTCCAAGAGGCGGTGAAAGTTGGGATTCTTATGTAAAGCTTCTGGATTTTCAAATATTAACGATTAACTGCAAAACCATGTTTCTTTCAACCCTGGGTGCTGTGTTCCACCAAATACAGCTAGTTAGCAACCTCCCTGTAAGTTTTCTTTCTGCTCCCCAAACTCTCTACTTCCATCCCCAGCAGCCAGCTGTCTTGCCCATGTGTCCTGGGTAGGAATGTGCCAAAATGCAACAGCTCACTTGTGGTTCTTATGTGGTGACATAGCTACCTCATTTCTTAAAAAGAGCCGTTCAGTCATTATTTTATAGCAGGAGTTCTAATGTGAACATATTGCTTTAGGGGGCTGAAATCAGAATGTGTATGCTACCAGGCACATACATTAGCCAGCCAAGCATTCTCCTTCACAGTGTCTTTTACTCCTTCATTGCTCCCTACACAGAAGCCTAGTACGCATTATTCAAACTCTCAGCGAATTGCCACTAAGACCTTTTACTTTAAAAGAAAAAAATAAGGGGGAGTTGAGAGCCACTTTCAGAAGCTGGTTTCCTATGTATTTCTGTGCTATCTTTCCTTTCTGTGAAGAAAGCCCAAAAAGAAGAATGGAAACGCTTAGTGTACCCCATCAGCAAGGTCATTAGTCCTGAATTAGATCCATGTCAGCAAGTGACAGTCCTGCCCACTGTGGCGATCCTGGGCTTCTAGTGGCCTTGGCTCTCCACTGCTCTGTGGCTTTGCCAGCTGAAGGGGACCAACATGCCTACGGACATAGGACTCGACTGCCAAGCACCCATTGAAGTCGACAGTTATCCCGGAGACTTTTCTTGGTGAAGCAGAGAAGCAAAAAATTTAGCAATGTGATCAGGAAAAAGTATCTTACTCCCCATATTGCATATATTTGGGAGTGCTGGGCAGGATGGCTGGGGAGGGCGCGACTCTCTTTCCCACAGCTCACAAGTGAACATAAACAACAGATGCATCTGAAGGACTCCCCACGCACACATTGCCCAAGGGCAGTCTAAGTGAGACATGGGAAAATCGAAGTCATCAGCTATCCCTCCTTTGGGACTGAAAAGTCACCTTGGCCTTATTGGAAACACCGTGGGTGTGGGTCTGCCGCTTGGCCGCTGATTGTGGTCTCCGTTTGGGGTAAGGAAGCAGAGTCTGCAAGATGACAGCAGCCTAGTGTGTGCAGTTCCACTGGGCACAAACATGAGCTGAACTCATTCTGTTTTTTATCATTTTTCTTTTTTTAATTTGAGACAAGGTCTCACTTTGTTGAGTGCAGTGGTGCCATCATGACTCTCTGCAACCTCTTCCTCTGGGCTCAAAGGATCATCCCACCTCAGCCTCCCCAGTAGCTGAGACTACAGGCATGCACCATCACACCTGGCTAATTAAAAAGAAATATTTCTTTTGTAGAGACAGAGTTGCTACGTTACTAACTCCTGGTCTCTAACTCCTAGCTTCAAGCCATCTTCCCACCTCTGCCTCCCAAAGTGCTGGGATTATAGGAGTGAGCCATTGTGCCTGGTTGGTTTTCTTCTTGAGTAACATCATCCTCTGTCTTGAAGAGAGATTATGAGTGTCAAAGAGAGTTCAGAAATATATCAAAGCCAGGAGAGTTACCTGTGTGGAAGTGAAACACAAGTGCACTCATGGTACAAACCACAAATGTCATATTTTAGCCTTATTTTGAATTTCTTTGTGATCGTGGGCACTCATTATACCCAATGTAACTGAATACTGACAAAGACCCCTGGCAGGAGGCAACGAGACTGTTTACCCTGAATACATGATATGGTTTAATGAAAGTGAATGGGACTTAACACCAGCAGAAATTGCTCATGGTCTAACAAGGCAGTTTCTCTAAGAAACAGATTTGCTGAAATAGGTCCTGGCTAATTACGTACTCTCTCTGTTGCCTCTTTGGTTTTAGCAGCCGTCATGATTTTGTGAAAATCCAATGATACGGATATTGCAAGCGAAGAGTAGCCGATTAATCACAAACCAGAGTATTAATTGTAAGTTCCAGCTTTGCTAAAGGAATAGACCTCCAATGGGGTAAGCTACTCATTTGTATGTTGGCCTTCACTTGGGTGAAAGGGAAAAACTGTGGGTTTCAAGGTCTTTGGAAGATGGGCGCAGTGAGAGAGCATGGAAAGATATGTGCTTATTAGGGTATTCCTGAACATGCTTTCCATAGCAAATGCCTGGTCTTTGGAAAAATCCCTTACTCGGGGGATTAGAATATCTTGTGGCTTCAATCTCTCACATTCTACTTGCCTATGTCCTCATTAGGGTCTCACATTTCCCAGTCACCACGCAGCTAACCCAGCTCGATTTAATCAGCAGCAGACATCCATCAGGAGGAAGGAAGGGCCATCCCTGCCCCCTGGCAGCCTCCCATTAGTGAAATATTCACCAAGAAAACAGAGCCAGAATGCAAACAAACAGTGTTGACCATACCCTCACTCCACTTATAACCTCCTGTGATCTTTGGCTTCTGTTCGGTAATTGCATTTATTTTGACTTCATTAAAAAATGTGAGAGATGGAATTTTATTTGGGTCTGAAGTTCAAAGATTTACAGCCCAGATATACCAGAAAGAGTTGTTTTGATGCTCTTATCAGTTTAGGGTTAGAAGTCTTGTTCTATTTAGAATGTTTCCCTGTGAAGGAGGCAACACATGTCCCTCACATTTTCTCAGCAATTTACCAACAGTTTAGAACATACTCTCATAATCATTTTTCTCAATAATGTTGTAAGTTAAGTGTGATCATTCTTAGTTCATAAATCCTGAGTTCCCTCATTTTCCCAGACCTTGTAAGATTAAAGGTACAATGCTTCACAGGTATCACGGATTGAGATAAGCAGCTTCTTCCATTCATAGATGTCAGTTCACTCAAAGTGCCCTTTCCCTGTGTCAAGCCCACTGTCCTAAGCCGACAGAGAGGAACGCAAATCTTGAGTCCAAGCAGTGTTGCTTGTAATGGACATGTCAGGGAAGAGCCAACATGTTTGCATTTTTATTATTATTAATTAAATCACCAATCCCATTTGAGTATACTAATTCACAAAGCTACATCGCTGGACATTGTTTGCAAACACCATCATGATCAGAAATTCCATCATCTTGAGTGTTCACCTGTATGCTCTTGAGTCCCTCAACCCTGCTGTCTGCATGCAGCAGACTGATGCCTCATCCAGGCCCGTCACATCTGCACGCTGAGTCTTGTCTGGCAGGGCTCCAGCAAATGAAGGGAGCTCCACATCTGTCCCTGGCAACATGGCATTCTAAAAAATTACCATACCATAAAGCCGCGTGAAATATATACCAAACTTACAAAGAGAGATGAAGAAACTAAAGCCTAGAAAGTTTATGTACCCGAACCCAGTTCAGGTTACTATTATAAACATGACAAACAAGGAGGGGAGCCAAGATGATGGGCGAAGAGTCCTCTCTCAGCTTGATGGTCAGGAGACTTGCCTGAGAGCATGTTAGGGAACTGCTGACACGAGACACTAGGATGTCTTCTGGAGACGAGAGCAGGACAAGTGCTGACCACAGTGGATGTGGACTGAAGATGACAAACCTGGCAAACATGTATCACAAATAGGGACACACACCAGGGAAACACGGTGTCCTGCAAGCTGATGAAGGGCAGTGAAGGGAAGCAAATAGTATGAGCTTGTGTTTTATGCATCTTCACGCCCACAGCTTCCAAGAGAGGATCTGGCTCAGAAGGCACTTGACAACAAATGCCAGGAAGTAAAGCTCTGCTGATGTGCGCTAGGGCAACTGCGTGCCAGGACACCTAGGTCAGAGTGCTCCCCTAACAGAAGCAACGCGTTTATTTTTAGGTCCTCCCCTTTATGGTATTCTGACTGATGCATCAGATGATAACTAATCAGCACTGAAACTATTACCATTAGATTGTACTCTTCTTTAAAATATTTGGCTTTGCTCCTCATTGAGTTAAAAGCAAAGTCCCTAAAAGTCCACCTCAGTGATTCTTTTCTCTTCCACTGTTTTTATAGCTTCCAAAAATGGCTCTACAATTCAATGTTAATGGGATTGTTTTCCATTCCTCTGCTTATTTTCATCAGATGAGAACAATAAAAAAAAATTGTCCTTAATTGTCCAGATCATTCAGGATATTAACACCAATTTATGGCTTTATACTAATGTGTCCCATATGTACAGTGACATGCTTCTTTGAAATCTAGGATTGTGTGATTCATAAACAATGGCGTCAGAGTAATTTGTGGAGCTTGTCAAAGTCTGCGTCCCATGGAGCCTCATGAAATTAAACTCACTGAGCCTGCAGCCAGAGAGCAGTGGGCCCATTGTTTCTTTCATCATCTCTGCCATTGAAGGGCTTCCTAACAACTAGACATGTGCAGGAGCTGGCATGTTAGGGAAACATCAACCCCAGTTATATGAATATACTTGACTAGTATAAAAGAAGAAATAAAGAGAGAAGGCATAAATATGAAAAACTAAGAATGAAAAAGGGCACCTAAGCACAGACATAAATTTCAAAATTTACTGGAAAATATGAAAACCATGTCCACATTAATTGGTTAAAATTAACTATTTCCTAGAAAAAAAATTACTGTGATTAGCTAAAGAATCATTAAACCTGAATAGAATCATAGTCATAGAGATGAGGGTAAAGGAACATGGCGAGAATGTCTCTGTGGTGGCAATATTGATAATTTTTTTTAAGCTTGTGAGGTTGGGATAATCTTTACATTATGTAAACTCCAAAGAGAATAGAAATGTAAAACGTTTCTCAAACTTCTTTCTGTGTTAGTATAACTGTGGCATCTGAATCTGCAAATACTAAAACAAAGAAAAGAACTTTAGGTTTACTTCAGTTATGAATAGCAAGGCCAAAATCCTAAGTTAAAGACTTACCAATGGCATTTGGTCGTATATTTGAGGCATAGCAGTCTGTGCCTAAATTATCCTCAGGAATAAATTGCTGATATATTAAAAATAAGTCCATTAGCAGAAAATCTAAAATAAACTAGTAAAAGAGCGAATAATATAAATTAATTTCAAAAACTATCAAAGGAGCATTCATTAAATTTCAACATATGTTCTCATAAGAACTATATTATATGATCAATGAGGATGACAAGAAATAACTAATAAAATTCATTTGTGGGCACCCGTGATAGTGAAATTCTTGAAGCACTGCTTTTAAAATCAGATGCAAAAAAGGGAACGTATTATGATTTACCATCTTTCTGGAAGTTCTACTAATTACTCTAAGATACGGAAATAGAAATAAGGAATATAGCAATTGCTAAGCAAAGGAAGGTGAAGGTGTTTGTATGGGTTGCCTTATTGATCTCAACGGCTTTTTGGTATTATATTCAAATATGGTGCCTCACACTGGCGCATGAAGCTAATCTTGGCCCTTCCCCATAATTGGGAAGTGGTCAAGGAAAAGTAAGTGGTGTCAAATTCCTCTTTACTCATTGATGTAGTGTGAATTGTGTTTCTCCCAAATTCGTATTTTGAGATCTTAATGCTCAGAACCTCAGGATGTCACTGTATTTGGAAATAGGGCCTTTAAAGAGGTGACTAAGTTAAAATGTGATTGTTGGGTGGGCCCCAATCTAATATGACTTGGTGTCCTTATAAGAAGAGGATACCAAAGGAAGACAATGTAAAGATACAGGGAAGATGTAGGGGAAGATCATGGGAAGATACCGGAGAAGGTATAAGTAGAAGCCAAGGAGGGCAGCTTCAAAAGACACAAAACCTACCAGTGCCTTGATCTTGTACTCCAGCCTCCAGACCTACGGGAGACATATGTTTCTGCTGTTTCAGCCACCCAGTCTGGTACTTTGTCATGGCAGCCCCCGCCGAGTAGAGTACCCTGTTTTCTCATGGTGTTCTTTTGTTCTATTGGGTTCCCAGTGATCTTGGCTCTACCTTCATAGCTTCTGGTGGCAGGGCCGATGCTTTATGCCCCAGTTTGGTGCACAGGTATCCAGTGGCACTGAGCTGAGACCTCATGAATCTCAGTCACCACAGACCAGCTTGCTGTTTCTGATACAGAACTGCTGTTATAAATCTATTAAATGGTACGGATGCTACCTGGCTGAGACCACAATAGGAATTCCCACGAGGTGGGAGGATCAGGTGTTTTCTTTCTAAACTCACACCAACCTCTGTGCTTCAGAACTCTCTCAGAGTGTTCATCCCTGCTGACTCATGTGCTGTGGCAGGCATCGGACACCTGCAGTGCAGTAGGTTCTTTTCCAAAAGTCCATGTGACTTCATCACGTGAACCAGTGTTTTGTCAAATGCCAGATGCTCCATCTCCTCTGATCCCATAAAGGGGGTTTTGTCAGTGTCTCAGACAGCCCTGCCCTCCTTGCATTTCTTGAAGAGCTCTGGGAATCTGCCCTGATGGTGCCAGAAGAAAGCACATCATAGTTCCGACTGCAGCACCAAGCACTCCTCCTAAAACAAGAGGCAATATTGTTCTAACAAGGAGCACATGGAGGACACAGATGCCTTAGCCAAAAATCTGGGAATGTTGAGAAAGAGGAAAATACCAATATTGCCAAATCCTTCTGAGCTACAAGTTAGAAAACATGTTTCATTCAGCATTGGTCTGCATCTTGCTAATTCAATAATAATAGCATTGCCCTACTGAAGAATTCAGAATTGCACAGAACTAAAACATAAATGAATTTACAAGAGGCTCCCACTCTTGAATACATTCAACAGAAGGAACGTCTTCTTTTGCCTGTGGAGCTTAAGTCTCACTCTTACACTGCAGTAATGCGGAACAAAACCAATGGAAAATTTTCACATTTTAGCTGGGGGCGGTGGGGAGAAAATGTGCTGTGGCAAGAAGCATATTGAGAGTTATGTCCTTGTTCATACAATGATATATATAATTACTTCATCACAAGGGCTCTGAGCCATGTACTATGCACCAGATATATGCAACGACGAGTTCTTTCACATCTCTTTTCTTTTCTTTTTCCTGAGACAGTCTTACTCTGTCGCCCAGACTGGAGTGCAGTGGTGTGATCTCAGCTCATGGCAACCTCCACCTCCTGGGTTCAAGTGAGTCTCCTGCCTCAGCCTTCCAAGCAGCTGGGACTACAGGTGTGTGCTACCACATCTGGCTATTTTTTTTGTATTTTTAGTAGACATGGGGTTTCATCATGTTGGCCAGACTGGTCTGGAACTCCTGATCTCGTGATCCACCTGCCTCAGCCTCCCAAAGTGCTGGGATTACAGGTGTGAGCCACCATGCCCATTTGATTAGATTTGCATAGCCTCAAATCCTTGTGAGTGTCCCTCCCCCTGAAAGGTTCTTATGGGAGAAACTACTAGCTGCCTACTATTCCTGGAAAAATTCTGATAACAACAACAAGAAACAAGGAAATCTGTGCAGCTTCTTTCTCTCCTGTCTTCTCTGAGCAGGAACACAGAGGTAGTCCCTCTGGATTAGCATGGTGAAAAGGCAGGAGCATGAGTTCCTCTTGTGCAAAGTCAAATCTTTGGATATTCTGCAATAACAATGGTGTTCACCAAAAGACAGCGGAGGAAGGGGTGTATCAGAGACCTAGGTTTGCCTTTTCCAAACTCTTCCCAATACCTGCCCCTCTTTCACTCAGTTCCCTAATGCTGAATTCTGAAAATTTTTCCTAGAAGTCATATAACATTGGCTTAAAATGAATTGAAAATATTCTTTAAAGAAAATATTCTTTAAACATCTCTGAATATTCCAGATGTTTTTCTTTCATATTTAGTCTATTTTTTCTATTATGAAAGAAAACCAAGTTCATTTTAAAAATGAGAAAAATACAGAAAAGCAAAAGAACGACAATAAAATCTCCCACACTCCCACTCACCTTAGGACAGCCCTCAGCCTCACCTTGAAATATTATGTCCTTAGATGACTTTCTTACACAAATTAAACTATATATATTACTATCATTTGTCTGAGAAATTGTCTCAGAAAATCTACTGATGAGCATTATTTGTTCTACCTTTTCACTGCTTAAAGTTCAACAGACCGGAGTAGCAAGTAAAAATTTAATCACATTTATGAACATTAAAAAAGTTTCTGAAAAACTGGCAAAACTTCTCAGAGATAGATCAAGGTTTGCAAAACTGCTCCCCAGAATGCATCCAAAATGACCCAGTAATTAGAAATTTGATTTTGATCTAGACATCATATGGCTAAATTGTCTAGTTTTCCTACTTGAATGTAGGTCAGTCTACCTTTGGCCAATGTAATGCCGCCAAAATTGTGTGTAACAACTCTAAGAGACTTCGTTCATTTTTATCTCAGTATTCTTTCTGTAGAATGCAATCTCTATCCCCGACCTCATATTGAATCTTCTCCTGTGGCCCCGTTTAAACACCCTCTGGTTCTCCTTCTGGCTCTTTTCCTAAATTTCTGGCAGTTTCTTCAAAGTTCCTCCTTCTGAAAAATCCAAGATGTGTTGGGGAGGAAACTGTGGATATATGTACAGTCTGTAGTGCCTAGTAAATATCTGCCCAGCAAAAGTGGTATCTACTCTGATTTTTGCATCCCTTTATCCAATAACAAATATAGCATGTATGGTGTAAGTCTTTTTTAGTCTTCATAAAAATTATGCATGCATTAGTTTCCTTTCCCCCACATAAGAGTCATAAGCACCAAGATGCTGCAAATGTACATGATTTGCATAAACTTGGAGGCAGATTTTAAACAGAGGTCTAACAGCTATTTTCTGCACAGAGCTGGATGCAATATTTGGACATGAGAACTGGCTTTGTTTGAAGTTGAAGGAAACTTTAAAACTTATAAAACTGGGTACAAAACTAAAAACTTGCTGAGTTTTCAAATTCTATTATGGCAAATTCTTTCACAAACCTTAAATTTGGGAATGTAAATAACATTCTTCCAGGCAATGCAGAGCTATTATTTAAAAGTTAAAAAAACAGACTCTTTGAGCAATGGCTTTTGTGAACTTGGTTGGCACTACAGCATGTGTTTTGCAAAGAGTCAACACAAAATTATTTGCGGGAGGTCCTGTTGCTCAATGTGACTTCATGTGTGTTTGATCGTGTTTCACAGAACGTGGAGAAAGCGCTCCAATTAGGACGGGGTCAATGTAGCTCTGCTGGATGCCAGTGGCTTTGGATCTGATCTGACAGAGCCGTAATCAATACTCAGAGAGAACTTTTTCCATGCAGTTACCACTCCAATCATTTACATATTCCCTAATCCTCATGGCAAACCTACACATTCTTGTGATTTTACAGATGAAAAGACTGAGGCATGAAAGCGTTGAAGAGGCTGTCCAGAACCAGCAGTTAATCGCAGGAGAACTGAGAGCTGAGTCCGGGCTGCCTGGCTTGCAGCTGCCCTGGACCTGCATCTTGAGCTGCGGGACTGTCAGATCCAATGCCCTTGGCATCTGTAGAGAAAAGCCATCCACATAATTCTTATATGTAAAAGAAAAACCATTTTGGTTACTATAAAATACACTGTATTCATTGCACGTTCACATGAATTCATTGGCCAGCCCCAATTGCCCTCTTCCAACGTCACAGCAGGTGGGTGGGAGGGTGGCACAGTGGTCGGAGCTGTGTCACCCTGCTGGCCTGCACCCTTGTCACTGCATTTTCCCACCAGGTACCTCATGTGTCTGCCTCCTCCAACCCCACGTGGGAGACTGCTCCCCTACCCCAGAGCACAGTCTTCACAGTGTTTGAATCTGGTCAGACAATACTGGGCAGTGCCCCTGTTGTCCAGGGAAAGAAACGAAAACCTACCCAGGAAGGTGCGGGGAATACATGGAAGAGATGGCAGTCTGGGTCTGGAATGTTGGTAGGATTTCTATGTGGTAGGAGTGAGTGAGGAGATATCCATTTTAGGAAAGAGGAAATATCTCATGAGCACAAATGCAGACAGGCCAAGCTGGGCACAGTCAGGAGTGAAGAGCTGGGGTCGAGGGAGCCCAGGAAGGGAAGGGAAAGAGCAGAAGAGGAGGGAGGCCTGGAAGCGGTGGTTTGCAGCCTGAGTGTCCTCTGCATCCTGTCTTCTCAATTGGCTTTTGTATGTTAGCTTGCATCCTACAAATGTGCTTAACTTATTTACTAGTTCTAGTAGCTTTTTGTAAATGCCATCAAGTTTTAGTCATCTGTGTGAAAAAGCTGTTTTGCTTCTTCTTTTCTAAGATGGATGCATAGGCTAGAAACTTCAATGAATGTTGAATAGCAGTTATGAGACTAAGTATCTTGTCTTGTCGTGACAGCAGGAGGAAAGCATGGAGTTTTTCACTAATCAGTACTATACTAGCTATAGGTTTGTTGTTGATATTCCTCATGAGGTTGAGAAACTTCTTTCTGCTGAGAGTTTGTCAGGAATGGCAGGAATGGTAGGAATGGATGTTAACTTTTGTTCAAAAAATACATATATTTAAGTGATCATATAGTTTTCCTTTTCTAGTTTATTAGTACAACAAATCTGATTGATGGATTTTCAAAAGTTAAATCAACTCTGCATTTGTGAGATAAACCTCACTTGGCCATAACGTATACCCTTTTTGCATATTGTTGAATTTGATTTGCTAAAATTGTGTTTGGAATCATTGGATCTTGTTTCATGAACAATATTCATCTTTAGTTTTCTAGTCCTGGGTTCTCTGGATCCCCCACCTCTTTCTGAGGGAGCTCTACAGCTGTGCACTGTGGTGCTCTATGATGAGAATGGATGAAGGAACAGAGGAATGGACAATAGCTCACTGTTTGGAGACTGATTATGTATATGTTTGGGCCAAAGTGATGAAGAGTCCTAGAATGGGAAAAGAAACTTCCTGGCTGCAGGTTCCTCAGAGCTAGAGAAGCTGGTGCCCCAGGTTGCCATCCCATTCCTTATGGTCCCTGCACCCACCAGCAGACAGGGCGATGGTATCTTGTCCTGATAGCAGGAGGACAATGAACAATATAGGTACTAACAATGAACAATAAAATGTTCAAAAAAATTTTTAAAGTGCACTGTTTAAAATGGCATCAAAAATATTAAATACTTCTTGATAAATATCACAAAAGATAAGAAAAACCTATGCACTGAAAATGAGAAAATATTATTGAGTAAAATGTGAAAAGACTTAAGTGGAGAGGTATAACTTGTTTATACATTAGAAGGGTCTATACTATTATGCTATCACTTTTTCTGAAGATTCAGTGAAATCCCAATCATAATTCCAGAAGGAGTTTTTGGGTAGAAATGTACAAGCTGGTTCTAAAACTTCATGTGGAAATACAAAGGATCTAGAATCACCAAAGGACCACTGAGAAAGAAGAGCAAAGTTACAAGGCTGACACAAACTAGTTTAAAAATTTATCAGAAAGCTAGAGTTGTCAAAACAGCGTGGTATTGGCAGAAGATGAAAAAAAAATACATCAGCATAACAGAAGAGAGTCTAGAAATAGAGTGACATGTAAATGGTACAACTAACTTTTGACACAGGTGCAAAGTCAATTCATTGGAGAAAACATAGTCTTAAACAAATGTGTTGGAACAAGTCTATCACTATATGCAAGAATAATAAACTGATACATGTGCAAAAATAAATTCAAAATAGATCACAGATCTACATGTAAAACCACAAAATTTAAAAATTTCAAAGGAAAACACAGAATTAAATCTTTGCAATGTTGTGTGTTAGACAAAGATTTCTTCACTCTGACATCAAAAGTGAAGTCCATTTAAAAAAGATGAGTTTGTCTGGGCATGGTGGTTCACACCTGTAATGCCAGCACTTTGGGAAGCTAAGGCAGGAGGATTGCTTGAGCCCAGGAGTTGGAGACCAGTCTGGGCAACATAGGGAAACCCCCATATCTACAAATAATAAATCAATTAGCAAGGCATGGTGGCATGTGCCTGTGTTCCCAGTTACTCAGTGGGCTGAGATGGGAGGATCACTTCAGCCTGGGAGGTTGAAGCTGTACTGAGCTGTGATTGTGCCACTGCACTCCAGCCTGGGAGACAGAGTGAGACCTTGTCTGAAAAAAAGAGATAAATTAGATAAATTTGACAGTATTAAAAACTGTGACTTTTAAAAAAACACTGAGAAGAGAATGAAAGACAAGTCATTACGAGGTGATAATACTTGCTGAGCAAAAATCCAATATATAACTTGTATCCAATATACGAAGGACTCTCAGAAGTTAATAATAAGAACACAAGCAACCCAGTAAAAGAATTGAGGCCCTATATAAAAAAATATGGAAAAAATTTGAACAGACACTTGAGCAAAGAGCAAATAATAGAAGAAAAGATGACCAACATCATTAATAATTTGGAAAATGGAAATTAAAACCACAATGAGATACCATTCACATTTATTAGAAGGGTTTATATAAAAAGAGTGACTACAGCAAGTGCTGGCGAGGATGTGGGGAAGCTAGACTTTCATACATTGTCAGGGAGGACGGATGTAAAATGGTACGATCACTTTGGAAGACAGTTGTCAGTTTCTTAAAAAGTTAAACATATGCTTATCAAATGATCCTTCCATTTCATTCCTACATATTTGCTTAAAAGAAATGAAAATACATGCCTGTAAGAAGACTTATGCATGAATGTTGATATAGCTTTTTATTTGTAATAGCAAAAGCCTGAAAACAATCCAACTGTTCAACATATCAGAGGATAAACAAATTGTGATGTGTCCATATAACGCTACAACGAAAGAAATGAAATATTGATACACAAAACAATGTGGATGAATTTCAAAATAATTACACTGAGAGAAAGAAGCAACACTTAAAAGGGCACAAGTAGGATGTCATTAATATAAACTCAAGGAAATAAAAACTAATCATTAGTGACAGAAAGAAGATTGGTTGAATTGACTGGGCATGGGGCAGAGTAGAGCGATGAGTCACAAATAGGCACAAAGAAACATTTGGTGGGGAGACATGTCTTCTCTCATGACTGTGGTAATGGCTTCATGAATGTATGAGGAGGTCAGACATCAAATTGTACACTTTAAATATGTGCAGTGTATGGTATGTGAATCACACCTCAATAAAAATGTTAGAAAATAGAGAATTAAAACAGCAATGAGATGCCATTACACACGTGTTAGAACGACTAAAATCCAAAACACGGGAAATACCAAATGCTGGCAAGGAAGGGGTGTGGCAGGAACTCTCATTCATTGCTCAATGGTACAGCCACTTTGGAAGAGACTTTGCAGCAGTTTCTTACAAAATTAAATACACTCTTAGCATATGATCCAGCAGTCACACTCCCTGGTATTTGCCCAAAGGAAGTGAAAACCAATGGCCACAGAAACCTGCACATGGATATTTACAGCAGCTTTGTTTATAATTGCCAAGACTTGGAAACAATCAAGACGTCAACAGGTGAATGGATGAACTGTGGTACATCCAGACAATGGAATAATATTCAGTGCTTAAACAGAAAGGAGCCATCAAACCATGGAAAGACATGGGGGAAACTTAAATTCACATTACTAAGTGAAAGAAGCCAATCTGAAAAGGTTACATACTGTATGATTCCAACTATATGACACTCTGGGAAAGGCAAAACTATAGAGACAGTAAAAAGATCAGTGGTTGCCATGGGTTAATGGGGTGGGAGGAATGAATAGGCAGAGAACAGAGAAATTTTAGGGTGGTGAAACTACTTTGTAAAATACCCTAACAGTGGATGAATGTCATGATACATTTGTCGAAATCCATAAGGTTGTGCGACACCAAGATGAGCCTAGCATATCCTGCGGACTCCAGGTAATGATGGCGTGTCAGGATGGTGGCAGATGTGCCAGTCTGGGAGGTGGCATGGACATGGTGACAGCAGCACTGGGCTGTCTGTACTTTCACTTAATTTCGCTGTGAACTAAAACTGCTCTCAAAAGTAAAGTCTTTTTAAAAATTTAAAAATAAAGAGGAGATGAAGAAAGAGGACAGCTGGAGGAGAAAAACAGAAGCAGGAAAGGCAGAAAGAGGAGAAAATGTGAAGAAAGGATTCTCTCTGGGTTTGGGTGATGAGAGGCCAGATAGTGATGAACAGGTACCTGGGAATGTTCCAGAAACTCTTCTGTCCAGTTGCCATGCTGAGGCCCACTGTGTTCATCTCAGCGTGGTCATGTGTCACCCATGGGAAGGAGCTTGTGTCCTAAGAAGGAAGGGTCTTCCCTTCCAGAGACTCTGTCCCAAGCCTGAGGCTTTCTCAGCACTTCCGGGGCCTCTGGAGAATGAGTTAATCAGTTCTGCTCCCTGTACTTCGCCCACACCATGGCAGAGAACTTACCTTCAGCTCTTAGCATGGCCCACAAGACCTTAAAGGCTGAGGCTCTGTCTTGTCTTTGGACTCTCTCACTCAATAGGCTTCAGCCGCACCAGCCTTCTCTCTTCGCTGAAAACCAACCAAACTCCTCTCTGCTCAGGGCCTTTGCACATGCAGTCCTCAGGCTTGGCGGTATACATGCCTTAACCTCCCAAGTTCTGGAGGTCTAAGGTACACGTTACCGAATAGAGAGGCTTTCCTTTTCCTGTTCAGCCAAAAACTCCAGTTTCCCATCTGACACCAAGTTAGAATCACAGTGCTGCTATCATAAAATAGAAGATGAGAGTTGCCTTTTTCACTTCATGTCCTTTGTGAAACCACTCCCACATCTAGGCATGCCAGTGAGTAAAGGCAAAGGCCAACCTGTGGAGCCTGCCTGCTCCCAGTCCCTGGGTCCCCGAGGAGGCCCGTGTGCACCAGCCTCCTGCCCTGAGAGCATCACCTCACTGAACACAAAGCTCCTGGCAATCACCTGGCCCTGCACAGTTTTGAACCTGGGGATGTAGAAATTCTCTAGCTTCCCTCCTGACTCACAGAGCTCATAGCCGGGCTGCTGCCCCTGCATTAGAAAGCAGCCAGTGCCTCTCACTTTGAAATCTGAGAGCAAAGAGCGGCGACCTCAACTGTGAAAAACAAACTCAATACAATTCCCGGATGGAGCTTGTGGGTTCTTCTCTAAAACCCACAGGCTCCGCTTCCCAGCGTTGCCTTGAGTCTGTTTATAAATTACTTTTATAGGAACGTTATCACATTATTGAAAAGCAATAAAGCCTTCCTAGAGACATAGCTCTCCTGTTTTTGCAATCTTGTGTGGATGACTTCTATGTGCTGCCTCTCCCGTCTTCATCCAAGCTACTCGAGTCCTTAATACCTCCTGGTGGATCTCTCCCATAGTCACTTTTTAGCTTAAGAACAAAGAATCTGCTCCAAATGGAATAATATTACTAACAGATTATTCTTATATCTCAATATCTATAGGGAGCTAACAGATGAGTCAAAGAACATAAATAACATGTGGATTTTATTTGAGAGGGAACTCTTATCAACAGGGAGGCTGCTGCCTCCTAATGTTTCTATAAATTCTCTTGGTGTTTTGTACAGGGATTGCTTTCAAACGCATGAGATCTCAACTACTCTTCAACTTTGCAAACTGCTTTACTCTTTAAGTTCTGATAGAAAATAATCCCCAGGGCTGGGCGCTGCTTCCTTCCCCTAGGGGCTGCACATTCCCCTGCTGTGTGGCTGCTGAGCCACCTGCCTTCCTTGGGATTGTCTCACTTGCTCTGGGGGGCCACAAGGAGACAGGGAGGGCAACATGCCCTGCAGGCCCCCAGTTCATTGCTGCTGCCCTGCTGCCCAGGGGCCACTGGGTCGTCTGCTTCCAGTCTCCATCCGACATCCAGGTCTCCACCGTTGGCAGAATGAACTGCCTGAGGCTGAAGCTGACCACGTCATTCTATCTGAAATCCTTCAGGGAACCTGTTGTTTGCAGGATGAAGTCTCAGCTCCTCCCTGGGAACCTGGATGCACCAGGGTCCAGCCCTGCCTGCCTCTCACCTGGTTTCCTGACCCTCTCCAGCTTTTCCTAAGGCTTCCTGGAACTGGGGGGGCTTCTCCTGAACCCACCTACAGGGTCACAGCTCCGTCACATGTTGCTGGAGCTGTTTCCTTTCCTTTCCTTTACATAATTTCTTATTCTTTTTCTCCACCTGAATAACTATATACTTACTCTTTAGGATGCATGTGTGTGTGTGTGTGTGTGTGTGCGCGCGCACGCGCGTGTGTGCATGTGTGTATATATGTGCTGCATGCTTGCCTAAAAGAAAAGAGAAATGCATCCAGTGACAATGAGACAGTAGCAGTGGACAGAACAGAGAGCTGGGGTCAGCCGCAGGGACTTCTCTGCTGCCACCTCCTCTTGTATAATTTAGGGGTGTATTAGTCTGCTAGGGTTGCCATAACAAGAAACCACCAGCTGTGTGGTTTAAGCAACAGAAATGTATTTTCTCATCGTCCTGGAGGCTGGAAGCCCAAGATCAAGGTGTTGCAGGGTTGGTTTCTCCTGAGGCCTCTCTCCTTGCCTTGCAGATGCTGCCTTCTCCCTGTGTCTTCATGTGGTCCGTGTGTGTCTGTGTTCTGATCTCCTCTTCTGGTAAGGACTCTAGTTATATGGGATTAGGCCTCCCAACAACCTTATCTTACCTGAATCATCTCTTTAAAGGCCTTCTTTCCAAGTGCAGTCCCATTCTGTGAAATGGGGATTAGGTTTTCAACACATGGATTTGGAGAACACAGTTCAGCCCACACAGGATCCTTTCTCCACCCTGGATTCAATTGCTCTCTCCCTCTGTAACAGGAGGGTTGGGCGCTCATGACAGTAATCTTGTGGGTCCTTTGCTGCTTTCAATTTTTTGGATGAAGAGCCAGGCAAGGAGAACCCAGAGCTGGGGCCTTTCCATCCTCATGCCATTCTGTCAGAAAACAAGCCAGGCGTGTCAGACGGGCTTATCTGTGTGGTGCCTGAGTCCTCACCCTGCCTTCTTTGCTACACACTTTTCCCTCTCACACAGAGAGAGACAGAGGAAGGAACAAGGTAGGTGGCGAAAATACCCAGATCCCTATATGGTCCACAAAGTAGCGGAGCCAGCATCCAAAGGCTTAGAACAAAGAAAGCGAGTGGAGGGAAGGGAAGAGGGGAGCTAGTGGGAGTGTCCAGACTCCAGATGACAGGAAAAGCCATTTGACCCACAGTGGCTGGGGAAGCAAGTGGCCTCTCCCTCCTTCCCTCTAGTCTTCAGGGATGGTTCCAGCACATGCCACTGTCAACACAAGAGAGAATACCCGCTCTTTTGGGGTGTCCCACTGGGGTGCCCAGAGTTGCAGGGTCCAGGCTGCAGACAGCTCTTTGTGTGGGTCCCTGAGTCATCTTCCAGATGTCTGCCCTGGAGAAAGTCAGGCACGGAGCCCAGGGGCTGTGGTGTGCACTTTGGAACAGGAAACATCTAACATTGCTTAAAAAAATAAAAGACTCCACTGTGTTTACTTTTGAAACCACTTGCCAGCCCATCCTGGAGAACTAGACGGCAGAATAACTTGGTAGTTTTGGAGCAGATAGAATTCTGGTCTCCAAGTTCAAATCCATCTCTAGAGTATGCTCCTTATAGTGGCCCAAGAACTGAGTGTGGATTTTGTCACGAACAGTATTTATGTGGTCATAGTCACAGATGCTCCTTAGTGATTTTCCCCTGTAAACACCCACGTGTGGACAAGGGCACAGAACACTCTGCTATCATTATCACAAAAGAATGGCTAAGCTGGCCCTTTGTAGAGGTGTCCTCCAGTGCAAAGCCTAGCTGACCCTACCCCAGGCTTGGATGGGCCCCTGACCTATATGTCCCTTCCGTAGGTCTCCACCTGCAGCTGTGGAGGCTGTACACAGAATGCAGCTCACATTCAGGGTTGTCACAGGTGCACATTGTGATGGGACTTGCTACATGTTTGGAGAAAGGAATGGCTTGTCCTAATTCTGCAAGGTGCCCACAGGCTGTGAGGTGCAGAGCAGACCTCAGGGGCAGTGACACCTGGTTACTCACATGCTCCCCTCTGCACTGGGAGCCCACCTAGATGCCAGCCATGCCTGAACAGCTCATGGTGGGCCTCAGCTTGTACACAAGGCCTGGCACAAGACAGGCATGAATGCGATGAGAGAAAGGAACTAGTGGAGATCCGGGGCTGAAAAAAGTCCCTGGAGGGAGCGCAGGGACAGGAGACGAGTGGGGCCTTCAGGGCAGGGCTGGAGGCAGAGAGGAGAGGTGGCCCACAGGGCACAAGAGCGTGAGCTGACACTGGGGCCAGGCGTGCAACCTCAAGCAAGGCCTCAGACTCTGGGCACTCAGGTGTCCCCATCAGAGCATGAGTGTGGGAACAGCAGCTGTAGTGAGGACTCTGTCGGAGAAGGCATTGAGTTAATATTTTGCTTTTTAAGTTTGCAAGATGTTCATTTAAATTGATAGCTAAAATTGTATATGGTTATTGAGTACAACATGACGTTTTAAAGTGTACATATGTAGTGGAATAATTAATTCTAGCTAATTAACATAGGCATCACCCCACCTAATTATGATTTTTGTGTGGGAACACTTTACATCCACTTATTCCTTGATCTGACTGACACTTTGCACCCTTTGATCACCATCTCCCCTGTCCCCCAGTACCATTCCCCAACCTCATGACAACTGTCATTCTACTCTCCGCCTCTATGAGAACAACTTTGTTAGCTTTTACATGTGAGCTAATATGTCTTTTCTTTTTTTCCTTTTTATTTGAGACAGGGTCTTGCTCTGTTGCTCAGGTTGCCTAGGCTGAAGTGCAAGGGTGCAATATTGGATTACGGCAACCTCAACCTCCCAGGCTGAAGTGATCCTCCCACCTTAGCTGGGACAATAGGCACATGCCATCATGCCTGGCTGATTTTTTTTACTTGTGGAGACAGCATCTTACTACATTGCCCAGGCTGTTCTTGAGGCTCAAGTGATCCTCCCATCTCAGCCTCCAAAGTTGTGGCATTTCAGGCATGAGCCACCACACCTGGCCATGAGCTAATATTTCTAAGTAATATTTCTAAGTGCTTAGAATAGCACCAGGCACAGAGATGGCAGGGTACAAGTGTTTAATAAACTAGACAAATGAAAAGAAGAATGTTAACCTTGATGACATGAAATTAAACATGAACTGATAGAGGTTGGGAGCAGGAAGGCGGAGGGAGAAGGAGGCATAGACACAGCTTGTTCAGAAGGGCTTTCAAGGAGACCTCAGTAATGGGCTTAATCTCCTGAACATTCACAGCCTCCTCAATGGGATGCAATCTTCTGTACAAGTGTGTTGACACTTTTGCATTTTGTTGTTGTTGTTGTTGTTTTTTACAGTGCAAGCTTACTGAACTCTTTTTCCAAAAGCAAGAAAAGCAGAGAGCTCTGGCCATCTGACTGGAGGAGGCCCTCACCTCGCCACGCCTCGTGATGCACACAGAGCTGCTGCCTCCCTCTCTCTTTCCAGGGTCTTCTTCCTTCTGACTTCTGATATCCATCATCGACTTCTGGGTCTCCCACATGAAAAATCATGTCAACCCACCCCTGGGTAAAGCAAAAGACAAGGGCCACATTCACACAGGTTCCAAGTCTGGAATTTTCTAGGTAGGAAGAGGTAGATAAGAGATGGAGACAGACACACCAGGAAAATCATGTGGTCTTAGAACCAACAACCGTGGCCAAGGAGCCTTCCCTTCCGGCCCCTGGGAGGCTGAGACCCTTCAGGACGCTCCAGGATGCAGCAACGGGGCTAGAGGCAGGGTGTCACCACTGGGGCAGGCGCTCTCTTCTGGGATGTGTGTCTCAACCAGAAAGTCCTCCTCCATGCTCACCTACGAAGAAAATTTCACCACAATGAGTGTCACAGAAACTCCCTTAGCCCTCGAGCTAGCACATTCTTTGCAGAAAACGGTCTCTCACTTTCATGAGCAAGGGGATTTACTCTTCCCAAGAGCATTTGTTTATTTTGGTAAGAAAACCTAAGAGAGAGGCCTCCTCTCTGTCCATTCCATGGCAGGGTTCAGTCTCAGGGCAGGCCGGGAGCTTGGGCTCTGGAGGAAGGGATGGCCTCAGATTGCACTGAATGCCCGCCGAGGCTTCAAGAGGGTGCCTGGGTTCATGGAAGGTGGCTGAGGGGGTCTTCACACAGCCACTACCAGCTACCGTTCCTTCTTTCCACCTGCTAAGATGAACTGTTTTTGAAATACCTAAGTTTGTTCTAAATCCTGCATTGGGGAAAAAATGATAGGAAAAGTGCAACAAAAATCCCCAGGGTGGTGTCAAAGTGAGAGATGAAGACTCAACCCTAGGGCTCAGTTCAGCCTTTTCTTCCCTCTGCTCCTCAATGAATCCTTACACAGCTGTGTGTGGGTGGGGTGGGGAGGGCTGGGTTACACAGGCCTAATAGGACCAGAAATTCTCCAACTCATCCTGCCGGAAATGAAAGAGACAGGTAGCACCTGTATCACAAAGACGCAGAATCTGGTAGTTTGAGGGCAGCTGGCTCCTGAATTTAGAAGTGAGTGAGCAATCTCTGCCCTTGGATCTCTTGGTGGGGAACAGCTGCCACTGGGGAGGCTGGAGTCAGGGCGTGTTCCCCGCCTCTGTGCTTACTAGCAGTGGCAATGAACAACATCCGCGCGTGCCCTGCCTCTTCATGCATGGCCTCCAGAGCAGCCTGTGGGTCTTCTTGCTCCATGGGTGTG